TGCCCCCTTTTGGGGCGGCGGCCCCTACCAGGATACGGCTGCGCTGAGGCCGCAACGGCAGTCTCAGAAACAGCAGCAGAGACGTCCGAGAAAGAGCACTAAGAGGGAGAACAGCCATGAAAGATAGGGACTGGCGCAGTACCGCTAGACCGAGCGCAGTACTGGGTCTCTATCGCAGACAGGGCTGTGACAAAGGCGGGGAGGGTGAGGTCACCCGGGTGCTAACTAGAAGTGGTCGCGGGCTGTGGCTAAGCGGCCGGGGAGGCGCGTGGCAATGAGATAAAGGGTAGCGCACAGCGGCGGCGGAAAGACAGTAAGTTGAGCCTCAGTGCTACTATAGCATTGGGGTAGCTAATCCCTAGTGCGCGGAGGTGAGTGGCAAGATCGGCGACCGCGGGGAAGGACGCAAGATCAGGGAATCGCATGGGGAGGATTAGGCGGCCAGCAGTGGCAGAGGCGGGGATGGAAAAGCGCGCAATGAATGCATCTAAGAATTTCTAGGCGTTTGCTACAGTGGTTAAGTGGTGACGCTCAGAAAGAGGAAGCGCGTGACTAATAGCAAACTGTGCGACGGCGTCGCGCGAGTCCCAAACAACACGAGCAATTCCAGCAGCGGAAAAGGCTTCATGCTCAGCAGTAGTGGGGGCAGCATGTAGGGCAACAGGCGCAGCGGGGCAGGGAAACAGGCCATCGATACAAACAGCCATGGAGTGACCGTCCTGGCGCTGACCTGTTAGGTGACGGCGGAGGTCGACGAGCCACGCCTCGAAGTATATCGCTCGACCCTCCGCGTCCAGGCGGAGCTGTGAATACGCCATAACCACGGCTGCAGCAGCTTACTACCGCTGACAGGTAGAGGAGGAAAGGCGAAGGAAGGAGGAGGATAGCGGTGGAGAGCAGTGGAGAGCGGTCGAGTGCGATGGAGTGCGGTGGAGAGCGGTGAAGGGTGGTGGAGTACAGTGGAGTGCGGTGGAGTGCGGTTGAGAGTGGTGGAGAGCGATGGAGATAGCCGACAGATGTGCTGGCTCAGAAGGGAGCCAAGGCCGGTAGGTCGGGGGCGGCACAGCGTAGGACCAGCGAGCGTGGGGCTGGCAAACATGGGGCCAGCGGGGCGCACAAGGCTAGTGGGGCGCACCGGGCTAGCGGGGCGCAAACGCGGCTAGTGGGGCGGACGGGGCTAGTGGGGCACGGACGGGGCCAACGGGGTGCACGGGGCATGTGATGCGCACGGGGCTAGCGGGGCGCAAACGGGGCCAGCGGGGTGTACGGGGCCAGCAGGGCGTACGGGGCCAGCGGGGTGCACGGGTCTAGTGGGGCACGACGGGGCTAGCGGGGCGCGAACAGGGCCAGCGGGGCGCACGGGGCCTGTGATGCGAAAGGGGCCAGCGGGGCGAACGAGGCCAGCGAGGCGTACAGGGCCGGCGGGGCGCATGGGGCTAGCGGGGCTCGACGGCGCTAGCGGGGCGCGAACGGGGCTTTTGGGGCGCTGAGGGACCAGCAGGGCGCACGGGGCCAGCGGGGCGCTAAGGAGCCAGCGGGGCGTACGGGGCCAGCGGGGCGCTAAGGAGCCAGCGGGGCGCTAAGGGGCCAGCAGGGCGTACGGGGCTAGCAGGGCGAACGGGGCCAGCGGGGCGCTAAGGGGCCAGTGTGGCGCTAACGGGGCCAGCTGGGCGCTAAGGGGCGGCTAGGACTAGGCCTAAGGCGGAAGCGTGAGTGGGCGGGGGAGACCTAACCTAGTATGATACCTTATCAAAGTGAGAATGAATGAACTAGAATAAGAGATACAAGGTGCTTTTGTGCTAAGGGGGTATACTTTATAAGAGTACGCACCTATTTGGCCTATAAGATATATATATATATGTATATATATACACACACATACATTTTTATGTTTTGACATACGGTCCATCTTCTCATGAATGAAGGGAAGTATTGAAGGTTGTTTGACGAATATCCTAATGCATTCCTAACTATATCCTCGCACATTCTTCAATATATTTGTTACATGCTTTCAAATCACAAGCTTAGTGTGGCTTGCTTGAACTCCTCAACTCGTGCTGTCTAAACCTGCAATCCAGCTATACACGACACTGAACCACAACTTTAATCTGATCAACCCTGCCAAATCGAATTTGACCTCTATCGCGGCATCCACGACCCATCTCGTCCCAAGGCGTTTCCAGAGACAAGCAACCGTTTTGTATTCTACTACTTCAATGCTAATTGAATCAATATAGAAGAATAGAGGCACACCTAAAAGGGTGAGGGAGATGGAGATTTGGAAGAAAGGAGGAAATGTGTGATGGCCTAGGATAAGTAAAATGAAAATGTTATAGCTTGATTTCAAAGCAAGTGCAGGGGGATGCAGGCAGTCCCGTAGCCGCCCCCAGATTTGGCTTACCTATCTCTCGCGCCAGCTCATTTGTCGGACGCGGAAATCCGGCCATTTGGTGGACTCCACGTGCCAGCATTATCTTGTCACCGCACAGAATCGTTTCGGTAACTCCCGTGCTCGCCTTGAAAGGTTCCCCGACAGTTACGAGCCTCCCTTGTGCATCACCCTCAATCGTATGTCACATTCCTTCAGCGGCCCATTTGTACTTGAAGCTAAGTGATAAGAGTGGCTTCCTCCCCTGTGATAAGGCCTCCACTTAGTGTGCAAAGCAAACTGAGGGTCACCTGCAGTGCACTTGATACTGTAATTGAACTGGATACCTTCGGCCGTTTGAACCCGGTTTTGAGATTAACATGCATGGAACTCACTCATCTCGAAGGGGCTGTTTCGAGCACACCAAGTCTCTTGTTCGAACGGAACGGACCTCCCCTTCGTGGGCGTCAAAACCAAAAGATTCAGTACACGTATCCACCTCACGTCACGACACGACACGACACAACCAAACGAATCCATACAGTTCAGAAGACTTACGGTGTATCCGGGGACGGGTTGGGTTCTTAGTACACCGGATGATCCTTTGAGATTTGCGACAGATCTAAGGTACAGTGGCATACACAGAACCTTCTCTTTCATTTACTTTCTGTTTCCTATTATGTGTCTAAAAGCTACCAAATATCAAAAGACCTTGATAGCTAAAATAAATATTGTGAACATTTTACATCTGTATAGTATGCCCTATTTTCTTCTCTTTTCTTAGAGGTGACGAATAATTTGCATTAGCTGTTGGACTTTTATGGTTATGTAGTTTTTGTCTTTACATGTCAGCCGAGACTAGTGCAATGGCCCCTAATGCAAACATTCGCATTAGGCAACTATTCAATAAGAGAAAATCCCAAGTACGCATCCTGTAATGTGTTTCACTAATTGTATAAGTGTATACAATATGGTCAAAACTGCATCTCATTTGTCGGCGATCTCCATGACACACTCGTGCCCCCCTTCCCGACCTCGCATCAGAATTGTAACGAACCTATCGGAACCGCATCGAGTTCAGATTGAAATTTTGTGCAGTGCGCGTAACCGTATGATTCAGATGCGAGGTCCTATAAGGTTCGTTTTAGAAATAATCCTTAAGTCTAGTCAATGTTCTGCATTCCCTGCACCAATTTTCACATTTCAATGTTTTTCGCGACTCTAGCGATATAATATCGGCCAATCATAGTTGTACATAATAACTGTTGTTTCTTGTTTCTGATATTTTGAGTGGTTTCCATTATGGGGTTTGCAACCCACCCATGTAGCATCGCACAAATATGTTTGAGAATGCCCACGAATTCCCGTCGCAGCATACGATAGGGGCACCGACCATGTACAGTGCACTTCAGACAGTGCCGCAACTCACTAAGTGCAAAAACGCCTGCGTCACAGCCCCCCTCGAACATAGCAAATTCCAATAATCTTGGAGCTTGCTCTGTTCTAGTCTGACCTGTATATCATTTCTTACATTCAGTGTCCTGAACATTCGGAATGCGGCGATAGTTAGAGTGAAATTAAGGATGTAGACTACTATCAAAGAAGGTGCGGGGAACAGTGACATCGGTTCTCTGGTCTGGAGATGCCTCCCCTCAATGCACCGCCCTTATATTTCCTGCGGGTTTTCAAATCAAATGCTGTACTGTACAGATGTGTCTTGAGTATTGGTGGTGATGGGGGCCCGAAACCTTATCACAAACCTGTGAAGCACCCCCGCCTGGTGAGTGAACCCTCGTAACAGAATTTCACTTCAGAATTGTGTCGGGCAGCCCGTCCTTCAGTACATGACCAGTCTTGCCGCAATAGTGACTGGGAGATTATGATGTAGAAGCCTTCCCTTATTTACAGAGCTCCTTTCACAGTTTCGGATGGAGTTGTTTCCTTGTTGGATGGAGGGCGCAGACACAACCTCCCCTCTATCTGCCTCCCACCCGGGCTCCCCTCAGCACGAAAGGAATGCATCTCGTCTGGTGGCTTGGGGCGAGGGGGAGGCCATTGTTGTCACATGCGTTCCGCCATTGCACCACAGCAAGCATTTTTATGCATCCAACCAACCAACCGTCGACCAATAGCAGACTCGGACGTCAACCACATCCGAGCCGCCTCGCATCATGTGCTGTTTCCGCGTTCAGTAGGGGCAACGGGGAAGGCAGGTTCCACCCAAACCCCTCCCCTACCCATTCCCCTTCCCCTGCGCTCCACCCTGCTGTGATGGAGACAAACCTCTCCTTCCCCCCCACCCCTGCCCTCTCTCCCCTCCCCCAAAACACCACCACCAGACCAGACCACACCACACCTCGCCGCGTCTCGCTTCATTTCGTTTCGTGGTGGTTTGGCTTGGGCTGGGCTTGGCTAGGCGAGGGAGCTCCTTCCGGTTTTCGCCATCCCGCTTCTCCAGGACCACCCAGCCCATATCCCACCCAGCCAGCTCAACCCAACCAACCAAGCCGAGGTACGCCACACGGATTGCCCTGCCACCTGCCCGGCTGCTGCCATCTCTCTGCTCACAGCCCTCCCTTCTTCACTTCCTCCACAGCTCGTTTCTCCCCCCACTCCCTTATAATTGGTTACACCAGCAACAAATATCAACTCCTATCAACTTATACGGATCTCGTTCCTGCCGAATTTTGCGCCACAGCGTTGTGCCGTGCCACCTATTGCGAAGTTCAAGCGGTAGCAGATCTTAGCATCCACAAGTAGGAGGTGAGGCGGACTCTAGCACGCATCCAGCCTTTTCTTCTTCTTCGTTTTCCTCCTCCTCTTCTTCTTTTTCCTCTTCTTCCTCCTCTTCTTCTTCTTCCTCTTCGTCTTCTAGTTTGTTCGTTCCACAGTAAGCGACGGCGACATCAGGGCACGCCCAGTCGCTGCGTCAGCCGACGCTGCCTTTCCTTCCTCTGCCGCTTTTTATGGAAAGAGATGGGCGCGGCTCGCGCGGTGGAGAAAGTGTATCCTTTGTAGCCTCCGCGATGCCTCTTAGCTTGGGAGATAATAGTTCGCGCTTACCGGAGCACCAGCAGCAGCAGCAGCAGCATGTCGCAACGCTCGTCCCTCACAACGATCAAGGCGACGTGGCTGCTACCCGTTCGTCACCGCAGCATGCTGCGTATTCCCCGGGGCGCCCGCCTTCCGCGAACGTTCCGAGCCCCCGTCGGCAGGTAAACGTCATGCCAATATCATCTCCGTTCTTTCATTCGAAAGAGAAGTTTGCCTCGCGTTACTACGGGAGGCCTTTACACGCGGTGACTTTTGAGTCGACGCAAAAGTCACCTTTCAGCGTCATCGTGCATTAAAAAATAAAATAACAACTGATTCAAGGCAACGTTGTGACGAGTCCTTCGCGCCGTTTCCCGCCGCGTCGGCGCAAGTTGCCGCGATGATGGCTAGTAAGCGCCCCGTTGCCTCCCGCATTCTTTCCACGTGGCTAGGACGACGCGAATCTGCGGTCACGTACTAGCGACGCCATCGCGGTGACGATTATTCGAATCGGAGCGGCTAGCAGTGGCTGTCTGTTCGAGTCATACCGGACCGGTTGCTACTGTTCGTCTCAGCCGCAATGCTCTGCTGGCAGCTGGCCGCGCCTCGTGCGACTCGCCCAACGTGTGCGAGCTTCGCGAACTGCTGCTTCCGTCCGCTCGCTCTCTCTTTCTCTCTCTCGTAGTAGACGCTGCTACTTGATCCGGTAGCACCAGTCGTCGCGCATTTGTCGCTTCGTGCGCGGAGTTCTCGCGCGTGTTACAGGCGCGCGTTACGGTCTCGCGCACGTGTCCCCATCGGGCCGTGCTTTGACGATGGTCAGTTGGGAGTCTAGAGTCTAGACTCTAGACTCTATTTCCTGGTGGTCTCGAGTGACCGCCCGGCCCCTCGTTTCGGACCTCCAGAGCGGGCGCGCGGACCGCTTCGGACCCTAGCAGTGCCAGAGCTGTCGCGAGGGGGATCGCCGAACGCTGTACCTTCATCCCAAACGCACATCGTATCCCACCATAGCTGTTTTCTCTCTCTCTCTCTTACGCTACCACGTTACCGTCTGTCGTCTCTCCGTCCCCGGCTCTCACCTCTTTATCCGTGTAGCCCACGTTCCCTGCCACTCAAACCGGTGTTCGTTTCCGGCACCCTCCGTCCTCGTCCTTCCCCCCCTCCCCCCCTCTCCTCCACTCTCCGCGTCAACCTGTCTTTTGCGCAGCCATTGGCGGAGGGCTCTCAGCGGGGATACTCGACCGTCGACCACGGCCACGACAGCCACCACTCGTCGCAGCGCCACCAGCCGTCGCATGCACCGTCGCACCAGTCGCACAAGCATCACAGCGGGATCGCCCACTCGCACCTCGACACCTCCCGCCACTCGGACGATGCGCAACCTTCCGCGCACCACGACTCCGCGCCTGCCGGCCATCCGCTGCCCTTCTTCTTTCCCATGCGCCCCTCCGCGCGCGCTTCCTCCCCGCCTGAGGGGGGACCGAGGGGAAGAGACGGAGGCGCGGAGGGGACGGGGCATGGGGGGGGAAGCGGGGGTAGAGGGGAGGAGATGGGTGGAGGTGGGGGGGCAAGGGAAGCAGAGTGCGAAGAGCTGGGGGGCGGAAGCGGTGTGAGTGTGGAGAGGGGGTTCGCGTGCACCAGGCAAGAGGAGGGGAACCGCAACGACGTAGACAGGAGCGGTGGTGGTGATGCTGCTGCTGCTGCTGCTGCTGGGGGCGAGAAGGACAGCAGAGCTCGTCACCAGCAGCAGCATGGCACCAGCGGCGCCGCCAACAGTGCTGCGGCCGCCGCCAGCAGCAGCCCTGCTTCTGCTGCCCGTGCTGCAACCAGCAACCGCCCTGCGTCGCCCTTTGCACCTCCCGCGCCCCATGTCTCTGCCCTTACCCCCGCCTCTGCGTCTGCCCCTGCCTGTGCTGGCCCGGGCATGCTCGATATGTCCCTGGGTCTCTCCTCCTCCTCGCCCTCCCTGCTCCGCTTCCCCACTGCTGCTAACGCTAGTACTGCTAGTAATGCGGCTCATGGTGCTCATGGTGCTAATGCTGCCGGTGCAGGAAGTGCGGTCGGTGGAAGCGGCGACTCCCCACGCTCGTCCGCCTTTCCGTTCTCGACACTCCCTTGGGCCAGACAGCCGCCACAACAGCAACACCAGCAGCACCAGCAACACGAGCAGCAACACGAGCAACACCAGCATCACCAGCACCAGCAACACCAGCAGCACCAGCAGCACCAGCAGCACCAGCAGCAGTCGCAGTACCCGCAGCAGCATCAGCAGCAACAGCAGCAGGAGGAGAGGACGGCACATGGAATCGCGGGCGACGATGGCGCATTGCAACATCAGCAGCAGACTGAAGGGAGCCGCGGCGGTGTGAGAGCGTGGGGCAGGGGAGCGCCGGAGGGGACAGTTGGAGCAGGGGACGGAGGCAGTGGCGTTGTGACTGTAATGGGTCGGGCTAGTAACGAGGCTGGACATGGGCGGAGCAGGTGAGAAACAGAGAGAGAGGTAGATGTGGCCTGGGTGCCTGCCAGGTGCTGGCACGCATGGGGCTGTTAGGGAGTGCAGTGCAGTGGAGCTGTATGCGTGAACGCATGGCTCTTGCATGTGTCGCTGCACCTGCGCCTTTCGCCCCAC